ATGAAATCATAAATAATTTCATGGAGAATTCAAAAAGACAAACTATCGCAGATGAAGAGTTGTGGGCACGCAGAGAGCAGTTGAAAAGTGAAATAGAATCTTTTATTTCTGCAGGACAAAGTAAAACTCCGCAAAATTAGAAAAAAAGAGTAAAGAAAGATTAAAAACTGTATTGACATCATAATTAAATGCAGCAAACTGTCTGAAAAAGGAACTTAAAAGCTTACTTGACAGAGTAGAAGCAGTATCACCATGGGGAATGATTCAAATAGCGTGAATTCGATCTTCTAAACAAATTGTACGATTTTTTGTGTCCGGAAAAATAAAGTGGGTTAAATGCTCTGAGACATTGAAATCCGGACTGACTTCTCTACAAGTGATGCCATTCAATCCTTAGCTATAGTAACCATAAAACTACAGGAAACATTCAGTAAAATGATAATAGATTTGATGTTATGTGCGCTTTTAGTATAATAATAATTGGGATATAAAAGTGACAGTCGTACTGGTTTTTATCGGAGCACTGAGAGCCAAAGAATCGAGGAGTAAGGTAGGAGGAAGTGGAAATCAGAGATCACCCAACGTCAGGATTGTTAAAAATAGTTAGAATACTAAGAACAGTATTGGAGAATTGAGGAGTTTTGCTGCCATTAAGCCACCAGTTACAACTGGTATGAACTACCAAGGAGTGAATAATAATAATAATAATAATAATAACGAGCTTTTCTAAGAACTTGAGAAAATGTAAAGCTTGAAGAGTAGTACCCATAATCCTAAGAGCACTAGAAACAATTCCAGAGATAAATGAAATAAAATGATAACAATTACAGATACAAGGGAGAACTGAAGAAATCCAAACTAAGATTTAAGAAAGTATTAAGAGGAATCGTTGTCACTTTATCTCCACTGACAGTAGCACACAAATATCTCACATAAGTAAGTAATAAGATAAAGAAAATAAGAACGGATTACTACTACTACTACCACTAGTGGTAGTAATAATAATAATAAAAATAATAATGATAATCAAAACGTAGAATTGGGCTCAGTTTATAGCAAAGAAATCCAAGGAAAGCACGTCATGTTTAACTTCTGGCCAAAGGATTGTTTTACTTTCAGTTTTAAAAAAATGCGAACGATTTTGTCATAAAGGAATTTAATCTTCCCTGAAGAAGAAGAGTTAAGAAATAACCTGATTTTTTTTAAAGCAGCTAATGACCTGCCGCTTAGTGATTAGAACAGTGTTCTGGAGGGCAACTAACTTGGTAGATACAATTTTTGATTAGTAGAACTCGTGGAAATTCCACTGGTATTTCCAAAGCTAAGATTAATATGATGCAAAAGTCACTTTGCCAAAATTCGGTAATAACATATATTTTATAGAATATAGAATATATATTGTCGCTAATAATTGAAATATTCGTTTATATTGTAAATGTCTAAATGATTTTAGTTTCTATCAGCAAAATGGTTATACATTCTTAACCCCTTCAGCTTTCATGATACTAAATATTTGATTCCAATACAATTTTAGTTTTGACTATAAAAAATATGTTATACAATAGTTTCCAAAATGTTATATCGACTATATAGTTTTTCAATCCACGTGTAAGTACAGCCATTATTCGAAATTGCATTTTTTTCTGTTACTCTTTTGAATAAACAGTAAAAGTTTTTTGATGAATTTGAACTAAATATATTTATACTAATTATTCCTCGCGAGGGAATTCTGTGATGTGTTTGAAAAGGCATATAAAATTATTTATATAGAAAGATAATTGTTTGTCTAGACCTTATCTAATTAAACCCATTCAAATATTCATCATTTGTAATCTATTAAAGTTAGCGATTTCTAATGTAGAAATATGATTATTTTTTTTATTAGAAGAAAGTAAAAAAATCCACACTGTACTTTAAAATATGCTTTTATTAAAAGTGAATATTTGGATTTATGACTGTTCAGTTTATTAGAGACGATATATAAAATTGATAAATGATATATATATATTATTTACAATGTAGAATCGGAGTTTGATATAATATTCATAATACAGTGTATGCAATCTATAAAATAATCTGAAGTTATTATGCAAATCTCATAAGCCTCAATAACTCGAATTTGCTTTGAAGAAGTTTTCTCAAACTTTAAACGATTAATTTAGGTGTCAAAAGAAAACCTAGTAATCTGAAGTCTGAAGTTATTATGCAAAACCAGAAAATTAGTTTATATTTCACTCTTTGCTAGCTAAAAAAATAATCAACAATTGATCAACACCTATAATAGAACAAATAATGAACGTACATAATAAGTCATTGAAACATTTTCATCTTAATATATTGACCCTTCTTCTCAACAACAGTCAACAAGCTATTATCCATTGATTTTGTTATTTTTTTTTTACTTGAGCAGGTTCAATTTATGATATGTTGGTTTTAATTGCTTCCTAGAGGCCTGCTTTGCTGTCATATTGTTTTCAATTTTCATATAATTTCATCTATACAATTAAACATAGATTTTCGATCAGATTCAAACCGGGGATTCATTGTGGTCATTCCATTGTCTTCTCTCCTGTAAAACGGCTCAAAATATTCACGTGTAACCTTAGATACGCGAGAAAGAGCATTGTCATACATAAATACACACTTCATTTTGAATTTGCGAAACTGGAACGTATACCACTGAAAGTTATTGGCTTTATTATAAAACCTGCAGTCTGAAGTTATTATACAAATCCAGAAAATCACTTTTTATTTAACTCTTTGCTAGCTAATAAAATAATCAACAATTGATAGAACCAATAACGAACGTATATAATAAGTCTTTCAAACATTTACATCTTAATATAATGACCCTTCTTCTCAACAACAGCCAGCAATCCATTGATTTTGTTATTTTTTTTTACTTGAGCAAGTTCAATTTATGATATGGTGGTTTTAATTGTTTTCCATAAGTCCGCTTTGCTGTCATTGTTTTCAACCTTCATATAATTTCATCTTTACAACTGATTATAGATTTTCGATTTTTCCCGTTTTAAATTTTGACTTTAGATTTAAAATACTTCCTATAAGACAACGAATGGCATATCTCTTCATACAAACAAAGCATTTCTGAGTTCGTTATGCATACACAAACACGCACACGTACGCCCCACCATATATATATATATATATATATATATATATATATATATATATATATATATATATATATATATATATATATAAGGACTCTCAGTTTTCTTCTGTTCTGTGTCCCATTTTCCTCGAACCAAAATCGTTTTCCTGTTCGATTCTGCTTGTGCCTATCTCTCTGTGAAATAAATTTTCGATTGGATTCAAATCAGGGCTTAATGATGGCCATTCCATTATATTCTCTCCTGTAAAACATTTACGCTCAAAAACATTCACGTGTAACCCTAGATCCACGAGAAGGAGCATTGTCATACATAAATACACACTTCATTTTGAATTAACAAGATGTATACCATTGAAAGAAAGTCTTGTCCATGAAATCGCAAATTATTAGCACTGTTCAGTTTAACTGCTTCATCGACTTTGAATGGGTCTAATAATGATTTGGTCGATAATTCCAGCCCATATCATCACCCTGCTGCCATATTTTAGCCACAGGCACATTTGTATCGTGTAGAATCCAATCTTTGGTTTGTCCATCAGATCTATTGAGTGTCACCGAGGTTCGTCCGTGAAAATAACTTTTACAATATTCAAATTTCATGTATTTCTTGACCAAATTTTGACGCTTTGAAATATTTGTTTTACTGAGAGGAGTTTGCATGAGAGAGTTCTTGACAGTTGCCAATTTGCCAAGTATTCTACACATTTTTTTCCTTTTTAACTCCTTCAAGTCTCTAGCCTGTTCAAAGATCTGAGCACTGCTCAAAAGTGTTTGTTTTTATATAAAACGCTTTAGTTTCCGTTCTCCTCGAAGAGACGAATTCTTAAAGTCTTTATCTTTGATTCCAGTTCTTAATTTCAAAAGCCCTCTTTATCGCTCTGTGATATTTGCAAAGTTCTTTTATATCTTCGATGTGGATATTTCCACACCCAATAACGGTTATTTCCTGTTTTTCAGCATTTGTTAGATCCTATCCATTACCTGTGTTTCAACTTATGGAAAAATAGTTTTTATTAGATTTCAGAGGTCTTAAAATTAATATTAGTTTAATCTGCATCGTAACTTCAGTCAGGATTTTTTGTAGATTCCAAATATTTCAAAATATAACAATTAAAAAAAAGTTTTAAAAAGTTTGAAAAGAGTAGAAATTGATTAATTTAAATGTAACAAATATTGATTCTGGACTTTTTGAGTTATTGAAGATTATGTGATTTACATAATAACTTGAGACAGCTGTATACAATAGATGAAATTTTATGTAATAAAAGGTTTCAATATACACGAAAGAATAAATGCATTACAACTGGATTATCCTTCTTGTCAATACTTTGCAGCACGTTGCACAAGTCATCAATTGTTAAGATTATCTTTGTATGAATGTCTAATTGGATGCTCTATTATTGTTACCCTGTGCCAGACTACAGTAAGTTTAATCTATCCATTCTCGATATATACACACGTGCATGCAGTAAGAATTAAATTAACAATGGTTTTATCCAGTAAGCCATCGTAATTCAGCGAATTCCTTGTGTCGACCAGTTCCACGTTTGAAAAAAGAAAATATATAAGGCGCTTAATCACTGAATCAGACGCTGTCTTTCTTGTATATTATTGATATATATTTCATGGCTGTTCACACAAAGATGTCAAAATGAAAAAATAAAGAAAAATCTATGGAAATGGTATTTTGTTCATTGGACTGTTTCCTTTATGTCGAGAGAGCAGAATAAGGGGAGGGGTTCTGTTTTAGTAGGTGGCGGACTCGGGGTTGGACTATGGCTGGGGGACCCTCAGTAGCAACGATTTTGTCTCTTTTTGTTCTTAGTTATTTTCTGGTATGAGCCCCGAGTTGACTGCGTGCAGATTAGGGGATATAGTTTATGAATGAACGAAGAAAAAAGTTAGGAAAATGAAAAAGTATAGAAGAAAAATGACGGCAGAAAGTAAGAAGGAAAGGAGAAAGAAAACGGAAGAGAAAAAGAAGGAAAGGAGAAAGAAGACGGAAGAGAAAAAGAAGGAAAGGAGACGGAATAGAAAAAGAAGGAAAGGAGAAAGGAGACGGAAGAGAAAAAGAAGGAAAGGAGACGGAATAGAAAAAGAAGGAAAGGAGAAAGGAGACGGAAGAGAAAAAGAAGGAAAGGAGAAAGGAGACAGAAGAGAAAAAGAAGGAAAGGAGAAAGGAGACGGAAGAGAAAAAGAAGGAAAGTAGAAAGGAGACGGAAGAGAAAAAGAAGGAAAGGAGAAAGAAGACGGAAGAGAAAAAGAAGGAAAGGAGAAAGGAGACGGAAGAGAAAAAGAAGGAAAGGAGAAAGGAGACGGAAGAGAAAAAAGAAGGAAAGGAGAAAGAAGACGGAAGAGAAAAAAAAAGGAAAGGAGAAAGAAGACGGAAGAGAAAAAGAAGGAAAGGAGACGGAATAGAAAAAAAGGAAAGGAGAAAGGAGACGGAAGAGAAAAAAGAAGGAAAGGAGACGGAATAGAAAAAGAAGGAAAGGAGAAAGGAGACGGAAGAAAAAAGAAGGAAAGGAGAAAGGAGACGGAAGAGAAAAAAGAAGGAAAGGAGAAAGGAGACGGAAGAGAAAAAAAGGAAAGGAGAAAGAAGACGGAATAGAAAAAGAAGGAATGGAGAAAGGAGACGGAAGAGAAAAAGAAGGAAAGGAGACGGAATAGAAAAAGAAGGAAAGGAGAAAGGAGACGGAAGAGAAAAAGAAGGAAAGGAGAAAGGAGACGGAAGAGAAAAAGAAGGAAAGGAGAAAGAAGAAGGAAGAGAAAAAGAAGGAAAGGAGTAAGGAGACGGAAGAGAAAAAGAAGGAAAGGAGACGGAATAGAAAAAGAAGGAAAGGAGAAAGGAGACGGAAGAGAAAAAGAAGGAAAGGAGAAAGGAGACGGAAGAGAAAAAGAAGGAAAAGAGAAAGAAGACGGAGGAGAAAAAGAAGGAAAGGAGAAAGGGGACGGAAGAGAAAAAGAAGGAAAGGAGAAAGAAGACGGAAGAGAAAAAGAAGGAAAGGAGAAAGAAGACGGAAGAGAAAAAGAAGGAAAGGAGAAAGAAGACGGAAGAGAAAAAGAAGGAAAGGAGAAAGAAGACGGAAGAGAAAAAGAAGGAAAGGAGACGGAATAGAAAAAGAAGGAAAGGAGAAAGGAGACGGAAGAGAAAAAGAAGGAAAGGAGAAAGGAGACGGAATAGAAAAAGAAGGAAAGGAGAAATGTAGAAAAAATATGAAAAGAGAGAAGAGAAGAAAAAAGAAAGAAAACAGTAAGAAAGAAAGAAGAAGAGAAAGAAGGAAAGAAGAGAAAGACAATCATGGAAAAAGAAGGAAAAGAAAAAAGGGAAGAAAAGAGGAAAAAGCGAGAAAGGAAGGAGAAAATACGAAAACAGACTGAACGAAAAACCTAAGAAAAAGATATATATATATATATATATATATATATATATATATATTTGTAGATGTTAGGCTCTTTTGACAAATTGAAGGTTTCCAGCAATCCTGCTTCCTTCAAGTCGATCGGTGCCATTTTGTTAACAGCATTGTCTTCCTGTGCTACAGTTTGGGAGCAAGAAACTTTTCTTTTTCAAATTATAATTCTGTTTCTTTTCGTTGTTGTTGATTTTAAATGCACTGGTAAAAAAACAACATGGGACTCATTTTATTTAGACATTTTCTTTGTTGCATTGGCCTAGAACTAAATCCTCTACATCCCCATCCATGAATTCTTTGTGCATGTTCATTTTATAGCTGAAGAATTTGTGTATTCCCCTGTCAAAGCCAAAGGTATGTTTTTGAACCAAAGTGACTGCCACGATTTGAAGTCATCAAAAATTTCTTCAACGCAACCTTTGTGCAGATGAGATTAAATAGATTAAATAGCTATAAGAATCTACTAAACGTATCTTAATTAGGCAGGAGACTACTATACTATCTCAGTTTGTCCATTATCTATCTATCTATCTATCTATCTATCTATCTATCTATCTATCTATCTATCTATCTATCTCAGTTTGTTCATTATCTATCTATCTATCTATATTCCATATGGTATTTGTTTTCTGTGTGAAGACAACCAATATTTGATTAACTAAAAAATGTCATTAATAATGTTTCGATATTTATTCATATCGTCATTGGACTTTATAATTAATGAGAAATTCTTGTTAATCAAATATTGATTAGCTTATGGAATGTTCATCCGGCTTTTATTTGTTCTTTGGAAATAAGAATTTCCACTAATTGTTGCCGCTTATTGTCTCAACATTTTTTGGGTAACAAATTGTATGTTTACTCATGACGATAAATGCAGCTACATTTGGCGTGGGAGTTGGAAGGAAAACGCTGAAGCCATTTTTAACGAATAATTGCAGGGAAGGAAAAAAAAAAAAAAAGAAAAGGTAAAATTGGGAAAATTAGATTTTTTTTATCGATGGTTCATTCGACATGGACAAAACGGATTTGTTCGACATTTCGACGAACATGGAGCCAAACTGAAAAAAAAAAAAACAAACACACACACACTCACAAAGAGAAGAAAACAAGAAAGAAACCAAAAAATTAAAAACATAAGAGAAAAAACATATACAAACAGAAAGAATAAAAGAGAGATAAAGAGTGAGAAAGAAGGAGAAATAGAGAGAAACAGAGAGGAAGAAATGCAGAGAGTTGATGTACATTTCTAATAGGCAAGTAGTCATGTATGCAAATTAAGTCAAGCAATTTTACTGTATTTAAGTGAACACGTGAAAATGAACATTACTACATATATATATATATATATATATATATAGTAATATATATATATATATATATATATATATATATATATATATATATATATATATATATAAAAGTGAACTTAGAGGTCAACAGTTTTTCATGGCGACGCAATCGTCAGGTCACGCAGGTGGCCTGACGATTGCGTTTAGCATGAAACTGTCGCCCTAAGTGTGGACTTCAATGTTTACTTTTATATTTACACACGCTCTATCTCTGATATTCAGCACTTTATCCTATAAATATGGCACACACACACATATATATATATATATATATATATATATATATATATAGAGAGAGAGAGAGAGAGTGAGTCTGAGGTACTACGACGTGGTATAATGGTTGGCATGCTTGACTAATTATGACTGAGTAGTGAGTTTGATGATCTCTGAGTGCTCCATATTTACGGATTTGTAGCATATCTATGCTATTCTGAGTAAATGGTTATATATCCAGTGTGGGCGTAGAGATCAACACCGTATATCAGCTTCATGCCTCAAGAAATTATCACGTCATCACAATATCTATAAAACCTCTATTTCCGATGTTGAACACTTTCCCCATGAATAGAGCAAATTATATATATATATATATATATATATATATATATATGTGTGTGTGTGTGTGTAATAGAAATTTTGGGAGATTTGAATAATTTCACATAATAATCCATCAAGTCTCGAACAAGCATCATCAACAGGATGCGGAAAGCACTGGACAGTCGTTTTCCTTTTTCGTCCAGCAGCGCGCATCCATTACCGAGACCTTAAGGATATAACGTAAGCATCAACCAATGTCTAGAATTGCATTAATCTTGGATTCAAATCCAAAATTACCTTGAATAAAATAAAAAAAAAAGGACAATGTTTTTATCTGTATCCACACGAGATGCTGTTTTTAGTTTAACATTTTTCTTGGGCGTGCACCAAATTCTCTAATTCAAAAAAAATCAATGAAACGTCTCGAATAAGAACGTCTCGAATGTCCATTTTGGCTGTGTTAACAGAATATCTTTTTGCCTACAGTTTATTGGTCCGTGGATAACCGGAGGCAGATTAATTCGTCTGTTTGGTTTTCTTTCCTTCCTTTCTCTAACACTCTTTTGCCACCGTCGTAGTTATTACCGATTGGTCAATGTTTCTTCCTTTTAGCCTTTCCCTCGGGATTAGAGATCAACCACTTAAGGTTTATTTACGCTTATACTATTTAAAAATGGCGGCAAACAGCACTTTTTCCTTGGTGTCATATTGCGGCTTGTATGAACAAGAGCATGAATCTTTATTTTCAAAGGCAAATACATTTTTATGTAAACTCTGAGGGGAACAAACGGATTTTTCTGGTTACGATCAGATGACAAACAATCTTCAGGTAATTTTCAGGTTTCAAAGCCGTCTACATTTCCCTGGACATGTTAGATCGTCACAAGGCGAGGCCTGTTTGTTGATTAAAGCAGATACGTAATTCCATATAACAACTCCACCTATAAGAGGCGGAGTTGGGAACCCTGGGGAAACAATTGAATTTTCAATGCTGATTCTGGTATGCAAGTTCTTCTTACTAGGATGCTTGTCGCAATACAATCTTCATATTCTCTATTCTCCTTTCAATATGAATTTGTACTACATTAAGCTAACTAGTAAATATGAAATCAGTATCAAAACTTTCGTTCTTTGGGCATCAACGGTAAGAATGCTAGTTCGTTTTTTTGTTTGGTTTCGTTTCGTTTGTTTTACGACATATCAAATTCAATGGGTTATTTAATGCAGACAATTTTTATTTCTGGTAATATTTTTTTCTTCAAAAATCTATTGCTGGTAATATTTTTTCAAAAATATATAGCAGGTAATATTGTTTTTTTTTTTTTTTTTTAATGTATAGCTGGTTTGTGTTACAGCATATCAACTTCAATGGATTATTTAATGCCGACAAGATTTTTATTGTTGATAATTTGTTTTTAAAGTGTATTGCTGGTAATTTAAAAAAAATATGTATTGCTGGCAATAATGAATTGCTGGTAATAATTTTTCTTCAAAAATTTGTTGTTGGTAATAATTTTTTGCAAAGTATTTTTGGTATTAAAACCTCTTTTTACATTTTCGTAGTGTTTTGACCCCAGTTTGGAGGTTAACTATTTACCCATAGCTGGAACCCTAACAGGTGCTACTACCCCGGGACAGGGTGGACCTGGGAACACCAGCAATTAAGAGGTGATTCCACGCTTCTCAAAACCTCCTGATCAGAGGCCTTGCTGTTGGACGTAGTCTATTGTCTTACCCAGGATGCGGATATAGTTTATCGTCATACCCAGGACAGATCCAAGTTCGGATGATTCAGGAAATAAAAATACATCGTTAAATTTCACTACACGCTAGGGAGACCGAAGAGTTCAGCAACCGAAATATAGTGACATCCCAGCAAAGATTATTAGTCCAAATAACTTACCATTGCAGATTTAACGAATTATTTCTGCTATTGTCGATTAAGAGAGATTAAGAGAGAAAACAAGAGAATTTAATAAGTTACAGTGTCAAAGATGAAAAGACATCGATAATCAATCAGGGAAGAAAGAAAAACAATTTTGATTTCGGGAAATAAAATAGAAAGTCAATATTATGAACAGGTGACCATATTGCATATTTGTTGATCATCATAAATTATCTAGAATCAATTTTTGGCTTTTTACTGTCATCCTTATCTGATAATATTTCGAACGCATATCCATTCTAATGTTCTGCATTCACCAATCCCGTTGTTTTTCTTTCTTATGAAAGCGAATCGTATGCAGAGGCCACTTTTTGTTTTATAATATGGAAACCTTCTAAGTGCTGTTCATGTTTTTGTTGTAAAATTCTGTTTCAGAATTGGATTCCTAACGACAATATCCATTTTATTTTCTATTATAGAACGGAACGGATTCTTGTATTTATCGATTTTTAATAGAAAAGAAAACTGCTATGAGAATATGAAATAGCTAATGGCTCATTAAGTGAAATGAATATTGCTCTAATTAAGAAGATAAGAGAAGAAAAATAAAGTGAAAGAAAGTAAATGAAGGAGAATTAAAGAGAGTATTTGGTGGGGGAGTAAGAGAAGTTAAGAAAGAAGGAAAGAAAGAAAAGATAGAAATAGACAGGAAAGATCTGGAAAAGAAATGGTGAGATAAAAAAGAGAGGAGGAAAAGGTAAAATTAGTAACCAACAGAAATAAAAAGAAAAGGTAAAGAAGTAAACAAGAAATAACAATGAAAGAATGGAAACAGAAAAGAGAGAAAGAGAGAGAGAAACAAAGACAGAGAAAGAGATAGAGAAGAGAGAGAGAGAGAGAGAGAGAGAAAAATAGAGGTAGAGGGTTACAGTCATCAAAGTCAGTGGCAAAGAAAGATGAAAGCTGAAGGAAAGAAAGAGAAAGAGAGAGAATAAGAGGTACAACAGAAAGAAAATGAGGATGAAGAGAACGCGAAGGAACATACACACACTGAGAGAGAGAGAGAGAGAGAGAGAGAGAGAGAGAGAGAGAGAAGAAGAAGAAGAAGAAGAAGAAGAAGAAGAAGAAGAAGAAGAATTAATGTTCATCCAACCAATAAAATATCAGTTCAGCGAAGAAGAAGATTGAATCAAGGAAGAAAGGCAACTGAATGAATAATCCCCCCAAACTATCAGAAAAAAGAAAAAAGAACCAAAGAAATGATTCTTATTCTGGTGACTTGTTGCAGTTTACAGAGACGAATGCTGTTCAATATTCGAAGAGATAATTCGTTATTG